CCCCAAAACCCCAAAACCCCAAAACCCCAAAACCCCAAAACCCCGTAAACTTTTATTTATTGAATTTCTTAGGCACAAATGTCAGGGTTTGAAATATGAATTCCAAAGAAGCACCTACTCACGATGCACCAGCATTACTTGGATATTGGCGACAACGACAAACTTTCTATGCTAGAAAGGATTCAAATGGCACTCAACAAGGAGCAGCAGACCACCATCAGCAATGATGGGTCTGACTCTCATCAAAAAGGGGAGAATACCCATAATTCAACAACTGAAGGTACCCCTCTTGTCGGAGAAAATTCAGAGCCTGAAGAGAAATCCGAACCAGAGGTTTCCATCATGGACAGGGCTGATGTTCTCTTCAAATACATTCTCAGATCTTTCAGAAAACACTACTGCAAAAGTTTTTAACGATGTAACGCAGTACAGGAAAAGGAAGAGGAGAGTCACTCAGAAGCTTACCCTCCTAGGTGCTATGAAAGAGTTTAAACAGGAGACTTTCCCTACTGTCGAACTACCTGACTTAGAAATCTACTTGCTGTCACTAATTACTCACAGAGTTTCCCCTCGGATTCCGAAGAGAAAGAAGTGGGCAAAAATAAAAGATTTAATGAAGACAACTTTGTACCAATTCAATCGTAAAAGACTGCAGACGTTCTTGTCTCACACTCAGTTTGCTTTCTTACTCTTGAAGTTCTTGGAGACACCTGACATCCTGTCAACTCTTTCCAAAAGATCTCAGCTAATCAAAGATGAGAAGTGCAGGGAGACCCTTGTACATCACATAAATTTGCTGAAGGAAGAATGCTCAAACAAATTGAGCAACAAATCCAACAATTTTCTAGCCTAATTTGCAGGCAGAATGTAGGTGATCACGGCTTGCTGAGGCTCTCTGCGAACCAGAGACCTCAGATATTTTTTAAAGCCACCCTATCGGGCATCATACTTGTTTACTCGGAGCCCAAATGTGTGGACGAAGCTAAGCTAGTTTCACCAACGTGGCTCTTTTTCCAAAACAAGTAAATTTTCCTACCCCGTTTTCGATCACCTACAATTTAAATTTACTCTATAAGAAAATTAGAGAGAGCTCTTTTTAATGATTTTGTGGGAATTGTTCATCAGCCATCTCTCATGAGATTCTGATCTTCGAAAGTTATCAATATGGCCCAATCATCCTGGTTTACCCCTCGATGTACGCTCCTCTTAAGAAATCCTTGTTTCGAGCGAATCTTGGTTAACACCCATTTCGGGCGGCCTTTTGTTGACGTCTGGCTTTTTTGGTTCTTAGCGGCAGCTTTAACCCAATAACGAAAATTTGAATCTTTTCAAACAAATTTTAAGAAGGGGTTATAAAAATTTCTTAGATTTTCCTATTTCTCCAAAATTTTCTTCAATTGAAACTCGGATCATTTTTGGTTAAAGGAAAGCTGGCTATCTGATCAAATTGGTAACTGGTGAATTCAAGAGTTTATTATCCAGATTGTATACACAACTTAGCCCAAAAATTTATTCTTTAAGTGCAATCCTTTAACAAATGGATTATCATAGCTCCACAAATGATTTTTACTCTTTGGCTTCAATTCCAGAGCCATTGTCAAGTATATACAGGCCTCATCTACCTGTAAAAATTTGTAATCAGAGGGCGGTTAACTGGGAGATAAATCAATAAGGCCGAATAGAAGACCTTTAGAGTTAGCATATCCTAGGTAATATTGGATCCCTAGGAAATGAACAGTCATGTAGTAATTTCCTCTAATCGAGATAGTCTCAGCTCTTTAAATGACACTTTGTGTACAAAATCCCAAACTTTGTATTTCACTTCTGATAAAACCATTCCTCACATAAGAATTGTTTTGATTCATGCTTTAAATAAAATCTAATATTCTGAGTGATTACTATAAGATTTTGGATGAACACTAAATATATACTAAAATTCCATTCTCTAGTCATCAAGCGGGGTTTTGGGGTTTTGGGGTTTTGGGGTTTTGGGGTTTTGGGG